GAAATATCCTTTTATAATTTAATCTGAACACATAAGAACATATCTCCAAATGACTGCTTATAGCAAAAAGTCCCTCTTACCGTGGTCCACATGAGCCAGTATACAGATATTCCTGATACTGGCCGGCTTTTTCTGGAGTCCAATCATCTTCTCCAAACTAGTGAGAACCATGATTACCTATTTCTGCAAATTAGGAAAAAGCATTTTATACTAGCATCATAACTCAAGAAACATCTGAATTTTTTTAAATGCACACACAAGTGTTTATAGTTTAGTTGATATATAAATATCAACTAAACCTAAACCCATCCATGGGCAGTACTTAGATAGCTAATAAATTATGTTTCTATAGCACCAAGCACTCCAGATCAGATACCAAAGAGATTTACAAACAGAAGGACACATTTTCCGGTTTTGATCATATAAATTTTTCATGTATTTGTTTATAAACACAACAAAATACACAGTGGAAAACTGTCCATTTAAACTGCGCAGAACCACACACATAATTTAAAGGGACAGTGTAAATTTGGCAGCCACCATCCTTTAAAAGATAGGTAAAACAATCCCTGTGGTAAAACAATCCCTGTGGTGACTATAATTGAATCACGGTTCTTTCCCCCGCCCCGCTTACTTTGTGTGTTTGCCAGCACTCCGCATACATAATACGTTTGACTGTTTCCCCAGATAGTTATGCTGGCCCTGATCCCGCAAACAATTAAACAAGCGTGTAACTTTACTCACACGAGTAGTCCCATTAACATCAGTGGGAACACTTATGAGTAAAGCAACACGTGCTTAGATGCTTGTAAGTTTCATCATGCGCGTCTTGCAGAGCAACAAAGTAGAGAAAATCATTTTTAAAGAGGAAAGGCGGATTGTAAAGCCACAGTGACTGTCGGGGGGGCTTGGGGGAGACATGTGCAGCACCCCGCAGGTATTTGACATTTATTTATGTTTAACTGTTTACAGTTCACGCGATTAATGGTGCCCCTTTCATACAAACCCCGCTGGCGACGAGGGCAACGCAACCGCCAGGTAGACAAGATACTGCCCAGCAGAGCGTGGGTGCGTGGGGAAACCCCAACTCTTATTACAACTGGCCGGGAGTCACCGTGGGCCCCGCCCTCTGTACCGTGGGTGTGGAGGAGGGGGATGAAGAGCCGAGGGGACCCCTGAAGGCAGAGCCGGGGCTGCCACCCACCCCGGCTGATCCGGAAATGACCTCAGCCTGGTGTGAGGCAATTGAGAGACCCCGCAGCTCCCTTCTACTAGGGGCAGGAGACACAGGCCGGGCCCCCGGGGGAAGGACAGGGCCCGGCTAGTCACTCACCCCGCGAATTCCCCCCTCTCCTCGTGACACCACAGCCAACTGCCCACGGCCGGAAGTCGCTACTACTGCGCGCACCTTTTGTCTCCACCCCCT